TTCTGCCCCGGGCGCCCAGAACTCTGGTTACGCCACTGTCTCCATGTATTGTACCTTTCGATCTACTCATCATTTTGACAAGCTGCTTTTACTAAAAGCAACCTTTATTTACACATTTTCTTATCATATGCTCAGTTGCGGCTGGCATACTGTAAATAATTTCACTTATTTCTATTTGCCATCTTTTTACTTCAGCTCTGATCCACCTGAAAAGTTATACTAGGCTGTAAACTGAGTAACGCAGTATTCCAACTCAACCTTTCCCTTATTCATTTGGACTAATCAGTTATGAATCCAGTGTGCATAATGTAACATTAAAAAAGCAGAGGAACATTTGAAATCAGTGTGTCTAGAAATGAGATGAAAATGATCGGTTGAAAAGGTGATTTTGTTATATAGCAGTCTGAGTTCCCCTGTGCAATGCAAACATGTCTGTGCATATTTAAATACTCTATAGTATTTCTTTCCCATTTTTCTGATAGTGTTTACCCTTTATTTCTTGCTACTGAAGAGATCTTTTTTTTTACCATGTTGTGTATATAAGTACTGTATAAAATTGATGAATTGTATCAGGATCACTAACAAAGCATCATTTATACTTGAGTCATTTTATTGTGACAAATGTTCCTCTTTATGGATATAAAGTGAATGGTTACAGTTGAGAAGTCATAAAAATGCTCTTTTATATCCCTATCATCATGTATCATTTTTACATCTATAGGGACTAACTGACACGGGGAACTACTGTATGTGTGACTTGATAAGAGCTGTCACTTTACATTTATGCTAACATTGCTTTCCATTCCTGCACTTTCAACATTCATAAGCAAATGTGTGATCCTTAGAGGAATATACTATATGATCCAAGAACACCGCTAAAGACACAAAATAAATAAGTTGGTATTTGGTATATGTCATAGAATCAAAAGTACAACTGTATAAACCTAATTCTATTTAAAAAATGCAACATTTCCAGATTATTTTACCATAGATGTTGAATTATCAGTATTTAAATTCAGATTTAGCAAATATAAAATGAACCATTCCTCAACACTTCAGCCTCCTAAATGCAGTGTACAGATATTGTCAGGCAGTACAATTCTTCCATATATCTGCAGTAAGGTCTGGGAAGCTGCTGCCGGGATGTGCAAGACTTCGAGGTGCCTAAACCTCATACAAGCAGCAGTTTGCCCCCTTCCACTGAGTGACAGAGTCTCTTAAAGAACATCACTATCTGCATTGGGATTTCACAGGACTATGGAGAGGTACAGGGAAGACTGGCCAGTAAAGAAGAGGTGCCACCTTATGGTTTCTGCTGTTTAGAAAGAGTTCACTTTACTGTACTGTAGTGTGCAATTAATAATTCCATTATAGTTTAAAAATCCCAGTGTACCATAGAAAGGGCACTTTAACACAGTGGAATATATAATGTAACCTTCAGTTCACACGACTGAGGAAATAAAGGTAAGACAAGCATCACATGTTTTAGGTATGTTAGGTGTTGAAAGACAAAAGTGTCATCAATTATTTACTTATTCTGTAAACTAAAAATCATAAAAGTTAGCTCACACAACTGACACACAAGTGTAGGTGTGGAAATGCAACAGGCAAGTGCCACCTATTAGGATCTCAACAATCATAAAGTAACAGTTTAATTTAAAAAAAAGAGTGATAACAGAAAAATAGTACATCTGTAGCTAATGCAATGTACGGAAAGCTAACACTTTCCTTGTTTTTCATTATTAATTATAACATTTGTAGGGTATTTAGGAGTGGGGCATTATGTGTATGTAACCCCTAACAATCTTCTCCTATTTGCTCACGTTTGGTCTGTTAAATATATTACTGTAAGTGTTTTCTTATAACTGCATAAGTGCAAAAACATAAAAAATACCTGTGATGTCCTGTACTATCTTGGCTGGCTGTTTATCTGTAAGCATTGTTGTCAACTCTCTGTGAACTACAGAACAATTCTCTATAACATGGAGGAGAGGGGGAGAAGGGGAGGTGTTGTGCAGTCCTATCATAGGGTGCCAACACTGCTCCTCCATAGATACAGTACAATGAGTAAGCAGTTTTACCCTAGGACAAGAATCATTTTACTGGCATGATCACCAGGTGAAAATAAAGGAAATAAAGCCTGAAAAAAGACTAATGCAGCCACCATTTCTAAAGACTGGTAAGCTGCAATATACTGTATTACATTTTTGTTCTTGGGTTTAGATATGCTTTAATTCCTTCTGTAAGAAACAATTACCCCCCTGCTATATTACACTCTACCATATGCAATTCTTCTTACTTTGTATATGGCAGCTGTAAGGGGTTTACACTACAATATTGGCATCAGTTACAGTGGCATTTAAAGGTTCTCAATGTACCTTCCCCAATGAGAATAAGGAAGGATCAGCTCTACTGTGCAGATATTGCTGGAGATGGACAAATCTGTTGATATAGGTGCTTCCAACATCAAAAGTGCTCATTCTTACTCTTTAGAATAGCCATATGTAACCCAGTGCTCCTTTGAGCATTCATCAATGAGTCATCAAATCAAGGCTACCCTGTTTCCCTGAAAATAAGACCTGCCCCGAAATTAAAACCTAGTACCATTTTTGGGAATTGCTAAAATATAAGACCTACCCCGAAAATAAGACCTAGTTGTGACCATTCCCAGGGCCGGTGTTGGCATAAGGGGGAACTTGAAGCGCCGCGGGAGAGAATCAGTGGTGCCAACTAAGCCAGCGCTAGAAGAACGAGGCGGCAGCGGAGGGAGCAGAGCCACATAAGCCGATGCCTCCTCTATAGCGCCGGCTCCTGTCACAGGCGGAGTGATACAAAATGCATTCCACCTGTGAGGAATCCATAGTGAAAGCGCGTTTCACTCATTCTGGTTCCCAAAATGCTCTTGGAAAGCTACAGCACCCCTGATTGCCCTGATCACCCTATTCTTAACTTTGCCATTTTGGGTTATTTAATTTGGATTTGCACTAACTTTGGATTGTTGTAAATTAAGAAAATAAGACCTAGTGTTTTTTTTGAGCCAACAAAAATATAAGAGAGTGTCTTATTTTCGGGGGAAACACGGTAGAACCAGTCTGCTTTTGACTGTCCTTGGAATGTCTTTTTCAAAGCGTGATTCCATGATTCTTTGGTAAAATACATAATCTACGTCAACCAAAGTTAATTTAAACCTGAACTGGATGGCATTAAGTTGCTAAAGCACCTTGTATCATAAACAATTGCTTTAAAATTTTTTAAAAAAAACTCTTTTTTAAATTTTTTATCTTTCTTTGGATTTCAGTGCTGCTGATGTCCTCCGGCCTCTTTAAGCCATTTCCATTCTTTATGCACTCACTTCAGTGCCAGTTGCACATCAGTGCTTCGGACAGGCATACTAATGGTGACCATGACAGACCATGACTGCATAATGTGTGTCAACAAGGCTGCTTCTAAAATGCATTTACACAACAATCAGAAGGTATTTACAAGCCAATAGAGAGTCAGTTGACTTGCAATTGCACCTTCTGATTCCCTTCAGATCCTTTGGGTTCAGTTGCATTTTTAAAAAAACTTTTTGGCAAGTTTTATGTGAAGTAACATATCCTGAGTGGGCATACTTCACTTACAATGCGTTGCGTTGCCCCCCTTCATACCCATTCATGTTTCATTGCCCTTGCATTAGCATCCATTAAAAAACGGATGCTAATGCAATGCAATGAATCAGTGTGAATGGGGCCTTAGTCTTCATCAGAAGCAAACATGACAAGGCGATAATGCAGGAGTGTAATTGAGAGACAGGGACCCCATAACAGGAAGTGCCTGAACAAAGGCCTATGTGCCAGGATCACCAGGTATTGTTTTAATAAAAGTTGCAGATGTAAAAAATTGAAACTAACTTTTGAACCTACATTACCTTGTAAAAGATTATATGAGATTTTAGTAACTGGGTTTAGTTCTACTTCAACATTTACAGGCAGTGGATACTATATAATTACATGGTATACTGTTACATAGAATACTGTTGTCATGTAGTCCACAATTGTTTGAGTAATGTAAACCTTATTTCTGCTATTTTCAAGCAGCCAATTATTTCAAGGCATGAATTAATCAATGAAAGCACAAGTTAACCTCCACATTTTACTCACCTTGTTCATACAGCAGCTTCATATTTGTGCCTTTGTGTGCCACCAGGTTGTATAACAAAGAGATGACATTTTGAATTACGTTTCCCAGCAGGTTATCCTGATGTGTCTGTAGTAAACAAAGCAGAAAAAGTGAACAGAGAACACACTTCATGTGCATGAGCTTGTATATCCCTAATTACTGGCACACTTGTTGGAGGATTCAGCGCATTACAAGTGGGTGGTTCAGTTAAAAGGACATATATCCCAGCTGCCATATGTACTTGAAATCTGTCTTATATAAAACGGAAAACTTGTTTCAGGCCTGTTGCCTCTTTGAGGAAGATTAATGATTCCTTTAGTACCTACCACAAGTGGGTCTAATTATTTCTGAAGCATGTAAGGAGAGAGATTTATTTATAAACACTGACATGACAATATCTTTTACTTATGTTTGAGGGCTGAATAACAAATGGAACAAAAAAAGGTAATAAAGTTAATCTATATAGAAACAAAAGAGGATGCTATTAAGAAATTCATGCTGGTGACTCGATAAATGATATATGGCAATGTCTGTGAAAAGTGCTTTCCGTCTGTGTCATTAATTTGTCACTCAAGACAAATGCATTGTCTAAACCATAAAGAAGTATGCAACATAAATTGTACCTTGTAATTATGTTGTGTTGGAGGAGACATGCAAGGAATTCAAACTGCAACATTTTCAAACGTGTTCTGTAACAAACTTACCATTTTCAGTTAATGTAATTGGGATGGTTTGGCCTAAACATCTTTTCTCTAAATTAGCACAATGAAAGGTGATAAAATATCAACCGAAAATATGAGAACAATGGTTTAAAAGTGTTATGTTCTGTAACCTAACCAAAACAAGGGCTCTGCACGTGTCATTGTTCTTAGTTAGGCCCCTTTCACACGGGTGGCTTTCATTCCAATTAGGAGGGGATCCATGCACAAATCCCCTGATGATCGGAGCAGTATGGAATGGATGTCCAAAAAAAAAAAACTGAACTAACTGGACCCATGCTAGGTCTATGGGGAGTCGGATGTAAGCGAACATGTGTATGTTTACATCAGTTTTTCCAAACCTAGATGGAGTTGGGGGTGATTAGATGTAATTGACGCATGCATGTTTACATCCGACTGCCCATAGACTAACATTGAGCTTCCAATCAGATCCTGTCAGTTTTTCAGATGGATCTGAACAGACAACCGATGTGAAAAGGGCCTTAGGGTTTGCTAACATCTTTTAGCATTAAACTGATTGTGACTGTATTGCAGTAAGATCTTTCAACTATTGGGCATCATATAGCGAATTATGCATGTCTGGTGGAGGCCATAGTGTAGAATAGACCATGCTTGTGTAAGTCTCTTCTAGACCTATTCAGTTGGATCACAACCCTAGCGGCAACCCACTATTAAATCTGCTTGTAATTTCAACCTAACCCAATGGTCTGGAATAATATTAGGCTTACAGGACTGCCTCAAAGAATGCCACCATCAAACCACAGCCCTCATGCAAAATGGGGTGGGTTGGATGGCTCCTAGACTGTAGAGCATGGGATTAAAGAAACAGAAATATGGCCTGTGGGAGAAGGACCCTGGATCAGGCCATATCCAGGATCAAGCCTAGAAACTTCAAGCAATGAGACAGTTCCAGAGCTGACTTCTGGACGGTTAGGATCCATCTGAACCTCTGCAAGCACTGGACAGTCCAAAGGACAAACAATGTGCTCACTCTGCTGCCTGTCTTTGGAGGGCCATTGGCAGGTTAAAAACATAAGACAAAGGCCAACAGACATCCCTTCATTTTGAGGAGTAAGGATGCCCCTCACTGTGACAAGGACTTGCTTGCAAGCTTGAAAGATTTGGGAGTCCAGGTTTCATGAACAAAGTCCCTGGTTTAGCCTTGGACTTGAAGGTTTGGGAGAAATGAAAGGAACTCTTCTTTGCCTCTAAAGTAGAGGGGTTACCAGTCTGAGGCTTAGCTTTCTTCTGTTGAAGTAATAGGGACTCTTACTACTGGCTGCATCCATAACAAGGTCGTTTCCCAAAAAGGTGTTCCCCCTCAAAGGGCAAAGGCAAATGGCATTTTTTGGACTGATGCTCCACAGTCAAAGGGACCTGTGCATGTGAACTAAAAGAAGACACATTATGGATATTAGGCAAATAATATCTACCAACCCATCAATTCAGTCGAGTAGGGCCACTCGGCATGAGTTCCTGTTGTTGGAGGACAGAAAGATCCTTAAGGATAGATGCAGGATCCCCAGACAAGTCCTTGGACAGACACCTAAGGTCTGGCAGAAGGACAAGGCAGCAATGACTTGCTGTAGTGCGGGGCAGCAAGGGAGAGTATGACCTTGGAAAGGGCTTGTAGCCTTTTATCCAGGGGGCCTTTAAACATCAGGATGTCCTCCACAGACACAATGTCTTGTAGTGATAATAAATGTCTGGATCCATTACAGGAATGGACCACTGTTTAAGAAACCCCTTTATTTAAGATATTGCTGGGCAAAACGATCAGGATTAGGCCCATCACTATAAATGTCGGTGTACATGAAAGGTTTTGAGGACTTTCAAGGAGGGAAACAGACTAGCAACCTTACTGTAGGTATAGCACAGGCTTTACCAAGTCAAGGCATGTGTGCATTGAATCAAGCCTTGGAGAAAAATTGTATACTTAGGTTTTGGCAATGTCAGAAGTCTGAGACTCCTCCTGTACACCATTAAAAGAAGATAAGGTACATTACTCATCATTCTAATCTGACTGTGCAGAAGCAGCTGCAGCCAAAGGTAAATCAGAGATGGACTCTGTAGAAGAGGGTGTGGATGCAAGCTTGCAGCCCCATGTTCTGAATCATCATACATGGCTAAGGGTTAGGTCACACCATAAGCAGCATCGGACCGGAAAGCACTGCTTATGGTGTGAACTAACCCTTAAACAGGCATGTGGACAGACTGAAATTACTCTGCGCAATTTCAAAGAGCCAGGAAACTCTGGTTGTCCCAATGGAAAGATTACGGACACTCTGAGCCTCCTTTCATTAACATACAACGCAAGAAGCCATGCTTTGAAACCTTTTATTAGGACAGTGTTCAAATCTAGTTTACAACTGATAGAGATTTTCCAGCATAGTAGAGACAGGGTTAAATATGGTAAACATTAACTTCCCTAGCCCCCTTGCATTCCAGAAGAAAATCAGTTTAGAGAAAAACGTTTCTTAGAAATAAACAGCATTTTTTAGGTTATATGTGAATGAGAACATGTATAAAACAGGTGTTATCCCAAATTGGCTGCAAAAGTGGAAATACACCTTTAGACAACACACAACAGCACATGTGCAGTAATGCACTGCAACAGTCTGAATGGACTCTTACAGCAGATGAGCACCAAACATTTGAATATCTACTGAACAGGTTAAACAAAGCTGGGTAATTAGTATATGCTCTGCAAATGTAATGAAGACGTAGTGACATGCATGAAATAGCTTTACACATGTTGTTTTAGGTATAAGCATAATTTGGAGATTGGGCTAGTCAGCCCTTGGCTTCTTATATGTCTTGGTTTCATGAACAGGATATTATTCTGCCATAATTCCTGGCTCTCTTCCCATCAAGTTGGAAATTTAGTGGGTTCCTGCTCAGTTTTGCATGTCCTAAACCTTCTGTTACATATTCCATGTATAGATATATATAAAATGAAAGATTTAGCGCAGAAGATGCAACCCCCACATAACGGTCCCAGGAAGTGTGTAGAACCTTAGAACTCAAGGGCAGATAGCTCACCAAGTGAGGCACTGTGGTGCATTTTCAGATTATTGGGGTCTTCTTTATTTGTTTATTTTGCAAGAAGTATATTTCACAATAACAGAATATTAGCTATATTCAATAAATCAAACAGTGGAACTTTCATTTTCACAATGTGCCTATTAAAATATAAAAACAATGTATCTAGATTGAGTGTTTATGTAGTGAAATTATCTAAAAGAAAGTTCTTTTGTGTTTTTGTTTTAATTCAATGCTCTACTTGCAAGGGGTCCACGGTAACGTTAGAATTTATTATGATTGGTAAATCCATTTTGCTGGGATTAAGGAGAAATAAGTTCCTTCAATCCATCAAAAGAACAAGTTGATATTATTTGTGGGAGAGATGTTGCAAACGTGGGCATTTAATGAACAGTACGTTTGACAGCTTTAATAAAACACAGCAATCGCCAACTGAGATAATTAGAACTGAAGCAGCAAAATTCTAGTGTTTGGCAACACAGATGAAACAACTTCATTAAAATCTGCAGCTTTTGCAAATGAAAGGCACGGAAGCACTGGACCCTGAAGAATCAGCCTTCTCAAAACTAATTGCTTCAGTGTTTAAGCAGGACAGCCATGAAACACCAAGGGCACAGGAAAGAAATACAAGAAGCAAATCTGATTATATTTCCAAACATACAATGGTTTGTATGTCCTTTTAATTAAAGTCCCCTCCTATTCCAGTTCTAAGCAGCAATACGTTCCTATGCTAAAAGACAGGAGTGCCCAAATGTAAAAGTATACAAACCTCACTTTGGTTGAAGCTAGTCAAACCAGTAACACCAGAACAGTTAAGTATGAATCATATTTCAAGAAACTGAACACAAAAGTAATTAATGGTCAAATCATACTGAATGCTAATAGTTACAACATAGCAGGTATTTGGTTAAAGTGTATCTATAGCCCAAAATGTGTTTTTGTTCTGCATATGGTGGGGAAGTAGAAGAAACCCTGTTAGGGTTTACAATTTTGGGGGGCTCTGTTAGACAGATTTCTCCTACTCCCCTGCGGACAACCTTTTCACCAGACAGGAAGTGAAGAAAAATGTTTTATTTTTAAGTTAAGTGGGGTAATGCTAGAACACCTGTCCATTTGTTATTGTTATATTGCCCTGTTGAAGACTTTCCCTCACTTACTGTCAGCTAAAATGTTGCACCCAAAATAGAGAGATTTACTCTCACTTTCTAACAGAGCCCCGGATAGCAATAAAACCTAAAAGGTGTTATAGCCTTTTCACCACCCATCTAAAAAGAAAAAGTTTGACTTGTACATACTGTACACTTTAACATCCTAATCCATAGGAGT